CTGTTTCACTGCAAAAACCACGTTCATGGTGGTGAACTGACAGGTGCCCTAGCGTCTTTTTCTTGCTAAATTAACCCCCCTCCCACATCACCTTTTCTTAAAGCTGTTCTCTTTTTTTTGTTATTTTTTATTTCATAGTCATAAACTTAACTTTGCAATTCAGCTAGATTTGGAGGGGAATAAGGAAAATATGGAACCCAGCGAACTGCAGCGAGAGCACAGGTTACAGGACAAAGCGAGCAGATAGGGTAGAGGAGTGCTCTCCTGAGCTATAGAAGGAATGGTCTGGTGGTTAAGAGAAAGCAAGTCACATTCATTAGAGTTGTCTACAGTCAGCAATGGTGATTTTCTTGCTGGTCTTGCCATTCTTGGACCCAAAGCACTCCATGGCTTCCACGATATTCATGCCCTCTTTCACCTTGCCAAAGATCACATGCTTGCCATCCAACCACTCAGTCTTGGCAGTGCAGATGAAAAACTGAGAACCGTTTGTGTTAGGTCCAGCATTTGCCATGGACAAGATGCCAGGATTTGTGTGCTTCAGGATGAAGTTCTCATCTTCAAATTTCTCACCATAGATGGACTTGGCACCAGTATCATTATGGCGTGTGAAGTCACCACCCTGGCACACCCTGGAATAATTCTGTGAAAGCAGGAACCCTTATAACCAAATCCTTTCTCTCTAGTACTCAAAGCACAAAAGCTGTCTTCGGACCTTTGTCTGCAAACAGCTCAAAGGAGACGCGGCCCAAGGGCTTGCCGTCAACAGCAATGTCGAAGAACACAGTAGGGTTGATCATGCTATTTTTATACTGATTAATTTAAGGATTTCATTAATTAATCTTATCAACTAAATTAATTTACTGCTGGGACCAGCAGTTGGTGTGATGGCTATGTCGCTGGACTCCCATGTAGTCGACCATGGTTCAAGTAACGGACCTGGTGGCTTAAACTCATGTTGGGCGCGTGTGCATGTGTGCCCAAGATCCCGAGAGGAGCGTGGAAGAAAAAGGATTGTGGCGTGGCCATGCCTCCTGGGGGGTGATTTCTCGCTTTCTGTCTCTCGGTCTCTCTTTGTCTTTCTGGCAAATGAACGTGCCCTGTAGCAAAAAACTCTCAAAAAAAAAAAAAAGAAGAAAGAAAGAAAGACAGATATAGATACAAATTTTACTACTATTAGTTGAGGAGTAAAGGGGACTTAGCCTGAAAAGTGAAAAGTGATGGGAGAGACCAATACTGGGGTTTTTTGGGGACATGGCCCTGGAGAATTGCAAATTTTTGCATTTTCTTCCTTGCATTATTGAAGATTTTGGAGCTCTACCTCTCTAAAGCAATACTATATGGATCTTTCTGACAGGCTATTTTACTAAGTCCTAGGAGCTCTTTCTTAAAAGCCTGACTCCTCCAAATGTGCACTTGTCAATGGTGGCTATTTTCCTTGCAGTTACAGGGCCAGTAGGTGGCGTGGTGGGTAAGGGGCTAGACTCCTACATGGTCAACCATGGTTCAAGTCCTGGACCCAATGGCTTGAAAATCACACTGATCTTGTGTATGTGTGTGTATGCCCGTGTGCCCCAAATCCCAGGAGAATGGAAGAGAAGGGACTGTGGTGTGGCCATCCCGCCTGGGGGATGTTTTCTCACTTTCCCTTTTACTGTCTCTCTTGAGGGAGCACATGTGCCCTATGGCAAAAACCTTAAAAAATATATATAAAGTTTCAGACCTACTTGTGTGGTAGTTTGTGCTAATAGGACTTGGCAGTCCTTCTACATGGGAATCCTTGGTTCAATTTCCAGCCCACCCTAATAATCTAGGCATGATGGTTCACATCTGTAATCCCAGCTACTTGGAAGGCTGAGACAGGAGGACTGTAACACAGCAAGACCCTGTCTTTCTTAAAAAATTTTGTCAAAGGGCACATGCGCTCAACAGAGAGAGAGAGGAGAGAGAAAGTGAGAAAGCATCGTCCATGGGGGAAGGCCATGCCACAAACTGTTCTCTTCTACTTTTGGGATTTTGGGCATGCACATACAAATGCCCAATGAGTTTTTTCAAGCCGCAGCATCTAGGACTCAAACCATGCAGTAAGCCATGTGTGATCTAGCCATAGGTTGGCTTGATTATGTCTTAGAAAAAAAAAAAAAAAACTAGAGTTTTATGGATTTGACAATTTGTAATTTATTATGAGATTACTATGGCAGCGCATACCAAAATTATGAAAATATTCTGATTCCTGGAAATTTATCCATTAGAAATAATTCACAAGACAAAAAAGGAGGAGAAAAAAGAAAAAGGGCAGAGGAAGAGATCTTTAAAATCATTAGTGAAGAGGAAAAGCCAAGGTAATTTATGTAATTTAAATATCCAACAGTGGGGACCAGCAGTTGGCATAATGGCTGTGTTGCTGGACTCCCATGTAGTCAACTGTGGTTCGAGTCCCAGACCTGGTGGCTTAAACTCACACCAGGACCGTGTGCCTGCATGCCCAAGATCCCGAGAGGAGAATGGAGGAGAAGGGATTGCAGCATGGCCATTCCCTCCTTGGGGGGGATGATTTCTCGCTTTCTGTCTGTCTGTCTGTCTGTCTCTCTCTCTCTCTTTCTGGCAAGCACACATGCCCTATAGCAAAAACCTCTCTCAAAAAAAAAAAAAAATCCATCAGTGCTACTATGATAAAGTGTATTTGTAGATCAAACATGGTATTGATGGAGTATAATATAGTTGCCAAAATGACTATAAAATCACTGACGAGTATTTACTAAATAATGCTAAGTAAAAAAATAGTACACAAAATTATATTTTATATATATATACAGATTACAATAATATTTCTTTTTTTTTGAGAGTTTTTTTTTTTTTTTTTTGCTGTAGGGCGCGTGTGCTCGCCAGACAGACAGAGACATAGCCATTACGCTAACTGCTGGTCCCTACAATAATATTTCAATTCTGAATGTATATAAATATTTTGGTAAGGAAATATGAGGAATTAAATAATTTTATTTATTATTATTATTGAGAGGTTTTTGCTATAGGGCGCGTGCATTTGCTAGAAAGATAGAGAGACAGAGAGACAGAAAGTGAGAAATCACACCCCTGGGGACTGGCCACACCCCAATGCCTAGGAGAGATCATGCGTATTTGTCCTTCTATACTGGCTTATTTCATGTAACATCCTCCAGGTTCACCCATGTTGTCACAAATAAAAGGATTTCCTTTTTTATGGGAGGAATAATATTTCACTGGGGGCATATGTACATATTCCACATTTCTTGCTTTTTTCCTTTTTTTTTTTTTTTTTGCTATAGGGTGTATGCACTTGCTAGAGAGACAGAGAAACAAGAGAGGCAGAAAGTGAGAAATCAAACCCCTAGGGTTGATGGCCATGCCACAATCCCTTATATCCTCCATTCTACTCTCAGGATTTTGGATGTACATGCACATGCACTGGCATGAGTTTGAAGCCTCCAGGTCCAGGACTTGAACTGCGATCGACTATGTGGGAGTCCAGCAATGTAACCATTACACCATCTGCTGGTCCCACTATTATTATTTTTTAATTTGCTGTAGGGCATGCATGTTCACTAGAGACAGACAGACAGACAGGGAAATTGAGAAAGCAAGCCACCAGGTCTGGGACTCGAACTGTGGTTGGCCAAGTGAGAGTCCAGAGCCTTAACCACCACACCTCCTGCTAGCCCTCTGTTATGTAAGAAATTAAAGTATTGTTGCATAAGGATGATATATAGCTCTAGGTAGTATTTTAAAATTCTTTATAAATCCTTTTCCATAGATATATACATTTACATATATATTTATAATTTGCTATAGGGCATGTGCACTCACCAGAGAGAAAGAGAGAAAAAATGAAGGAAAAAACCCTCAGGGGAAATAGCCACACCACAATCCTTTCTCCTCCATTCTCTTCTTGGAATTTTGGGCACGTACAACATGAGCCTGGTGTGCTTCTCAGGCCCCCATTTTCAGGTCTCAGACCACACAGTCAGGCATGTGAGATCCAGTGCATTAACTACCATGTCACTGGTGAGCCCTCCATGATGTTTCATGAATAAAAATATAATATGATCATAGTGGTAATCTGGTCAGAAATTAAATTGTATCAGGACAGCTGTGCTTATTTTAGAGAATGAGAAAAGTCTCTAACATGCCATCAGGCACTTAAACTGAGCTACTTCAAAATAATGACTGTTTTGGGGCATGGTGATTAAGGTGTTAGACTCCCACATAGCCAACTGCAGCTCAGGTCCTGGACCAGGCAGCTTGCTTTCTCACTTTCCCTCTCTCTCTCTCTCTGTTGCTTTCTGGTGAGTACACATGCCCTGTAGCAAATTAAAAAATAATGATAATGATAAATAAAGTTAGATAAATAATTCTTAGAAAAAGGAAAACTATAAAATAATGACTATTTTCATTTCTTGTTTAAAAAGAAAATAATTTCAGTTATTCCACATTTTTTTGTTAGAAAATACAGAAATGTAAACAAATCACTCATAATCCTATCACACAGAGATGACTCTTAGTCTATAGCTTTGCATTTTTTATCTATACATTTACATTTTATATGTATTTTACATAATGGAAAATGAAAATAGGCTTAGATTATTTTGTAACTTGTTTTTGTTTGTTTTGCTTGCTATTGGGTACTTGCCAGAGAGAGAGTAAGAGAGAGAGAGAAAGTGAAAAATCACTCCGAGGGGAGATGGCCACACCACAATCCCTTCTTTTGAGATTTTTCGGCACACATGCATACGCACCCTGAATGTTTTCAAGCTACCAGTAGAAGATGCCAACCACATTGTCTTAACCTCCATGCCACTTGCTGGCCCTGTAACCTCTGTTTTTAATTAGAAAAGTTAATGAACCATATTTTTATATGGTGTACCATCCAGGTGTCCCCTCTAGGCAACCAGGCTACCAACCTAGGGTAAGCCTGGGATGGGATAAAACACATGCACTTACTTATTTTCCCCTCTCTCCTGTAGAAATTGGTGTGTTAGCCAAGACTTTCATCGACCAAGGGAAGCTCATCCCAGATGATGTCATGACTCGGCTGGCCCTTCATGAGCTAAAAAATCTCACCCAATATAGCTGGCTGTTGGATGGTAAGTACAGAGTCATGAGCATTTCAGCTGCCCTCAGTTGTGAGTGCTAGCAGGAGACTGAGCATTTCCTGGGCCATGAACAGATGTCAAGGATGGGACCTGTATTCTGTCTTACTACCCTGAGGTCTTGCTCCAGTCATCTTCTCTGTGCTTGCTTCTTTATCCAAATGGAAAGTAGGAAGTGATTCCATAATTTCTAAACTCCTTTCAGATGTAACTTGAGTTCCTTCCCCCTTTCTCTGAAAATATTTTATGATGAGGGAAGATCATCACAAAAGAAAGGGCCAAGAATAATTTACAAAAAGCTGTAAACTTTCCCCAGTCAGAGGTGTGGCAGAATCCTTAAAGTAGGTTGTTTTCAGTTTTGTTCATGTGGAGAGGACACAAAAGAGATTTGTTTTATGAAATTGAGATGAGATTTCAAGAAGAGCTGAGTCACAATATCCACTTTTGAAAGAGGTATCCTAATCTAGTCTTTCTGTTTACACTCTTGGCTCTTTTGTAACCCATTCTCCCCTCTGTACACATGTACCAAGCTCTGCAGCCCTGCAGCCTTGTTTTAATCCAAGAAGGTTCCAAAGTCTTTGCCCTCATGGAAAGTACATTCTAGTAGGAGACAGAGTAGACAAGTAAACAAAAACTTGGGTGAGTACAGATACTAAGTGCTATGAAATAAAGTGTTTATGTGAATAGAACATAACGTGGTAGTGCAGTGGGTATTTTTCTTTTTAACAGAAAAATAGTTATTTGGTTCAAAATACAAAATTATAGAGTTGAATGAAAGTCTTATCTCTATGTGAGATAGAAGGGGTTAAGAAACAGTCCTGTATGTGGGGCTGTTGGGGAACAGGATGGATTATGTGAGTAAAGGAACAGGTCATTTTAGGCTGCAGAAATAGGGGAAACAAAGCTGAGCGGAGATGCTGCCCTGTTCAGGAAAGTGGCAAGTCATCTACGAGACCAGCCCATGGTAATCATTAGTGGGCATAGGGGAAATGGGTCAAAGATGGGCCAGATGAGAAGGGCCTGGGAGGTAGAATATTTGTTTTTTTTTTTTGTTTGTTTGTTTGTTTTGTTATTGTTCTATCATAAAAATACCTTTTCCTTATAAAAATAGAAAACAGCCTCATCACACTATGGTCTCCTTTTCCCAGCCCTCCAGCTTCCCAGTACCCTGGGCACCAGTGTTTGCACCCCAGTGTGCTCTCAAGCCAATCCATGGATTTGAACTCGTTTTTGGCTATACAGCTTACAGCCATGTGGGGCACCTGTGTGACCACTGTGCCACAATGGCTGGGCTGTATGTAAATATTTTAATCAGAATTATATACCAGTACAGAGGTATTTTTACTGAGACATGTATTTTTTTCAGTGCAAAACTCATGATTATGGTAGGTGTTTGGTTAGAAAGTTTGTTTGTGTTCAAATCCCATTTCCACCATTTAATTAATAGCATTATGAGCTAGGGCAAGTTACTTTGCCTCAAGGTGCTTCAGTTTATTCATTTGTAAAGTGAGAATAGCAGTAGTACCTGCCTTAGAGTCTTTAATGATGGTAAAAGGAGTGATCTTTGCAAAACATCAAGCATACAGTACCTGGCAGCTAGACAGTGCTTAATAGATGGATCTATTATATTCCACTTGTTCTCAAGGAATGTACTGTACTATAATTGTTTCCACAGGATCACTTACTTCAGTGTAAATTTTATAATAAATACTTGCTTTTTTAAAAAGAACTATTTTATTTAACTTTATTTATTTACTTATTTTAATGTGACCAGAAAGCAAGAGAGAGGGAAAATAAGAAAGCAAGCCACCAGGTCCAGGACTTGAACCACGGTTGGCCATGTGGAGAGTCCAGTGCCCCCTACCACCACATCACCTGCTGGCCCCAATATTTGATTTTTTAAGTTCAATTTGGGGACTATATAAAATTTTATAGATTGAGCATTTGCCATCATATGTTTTCATTGGGGCCATTATTTCCCTTAAATCTAGATTCCTTGGTTACAGTTTTGGCCATTAGTATTATATTTTACCACATTAAAAGTACTGGACTACTGGCATATTCTTCCACATTTCAGTGTTAAGAAAATGTAATTTTTGGGGGACCAGCAGGTGGCATGGTGGTTAAGGTGCTGGACACTCCCACATGGCTGACCACTGTTCAAGTCCTGGACCTGGCAGCTTACTTTCTCAGAAAATGTAATTTTTTAGTTAGCATTTTTAGCTCTAATGTTATAGCATCTGTAGTTTTAACCTTTGTCACTTTTGAAAATTATATTTTTTCTACCAATTTTAATTTTTCCTAGTGTTCTAGACAAAACGTCTTTAGTAATAACATTGCAAAGTCAAAAATTTGCAATCAAAATTTACCGATTACTAAAAGAAATTTGCCAAAGGGCATGTATGCTCCAAGAGAGAGATAGAAAGAGGCAGAGAGAAAAAGTGAAAAAGCAACCCACATGGGGGATGGCCACACTGCAGTCTCCTCTCCTCTATCTCTTTCTCTTTTTGGTTTGGGATTTTGGGCAGGTACACACACACACGTCCTCTCCTCTATCTCTTTCTCTTTTTGGGATTTTGGGCAGGTACACACACACACACACACACACACACACACACACACTGATGTATCTCCCAAGCTGCCAGGTCTGGGACTTGAACTGCATAGTCTACCACTTGGGATCCAGCCACTGCAACCACCATGCCACTAGCTGGTCTCAAGTAGTAGCATTTTAACTTGTATAACATATGGGACCAGCAGTTGGCATAATGGCTATGTTGCTGAACTCCCATGTAGTCGATCGCTGTTCGAGTCCCAGACTCGGTGGCTTAAACTTATGCTGGGCCCGTGTGCATGCGTGCCCAGGATCCCGAGAGGAGAATGGAGGAGAAGGGATTGTGGCATGGCCATCTCCCCTGGGGGGTGATTTCTCACTTTCTGTCTCTCTGGCGAGTGCTGAATAACAAAAAAAGGAAAAAAAAATGTGTAACACTCTTACATCTGTTTCTGGGTTCACTAATCAATTAGATTTCCCAGTCTCACTTTCTTTTTTAAATTATTTATTTTATTATTATTATTTTGATTTTGATCAGAGACAGAGAAAGCAAGATAGTGAGAAAGCAAGCCATCAGGTCTGGGACTTGAACTGCAGTTGACCATATGGGAATCCAGCACCTTAACCCCTATGCCACCTGCCAGCCACTATTTCTGTATTTTTAAACTATAATTTTAGCTGTAGAGGATTGTTTATTTGTTAGAGTTTGCTCCTTTGTATTAATATTTTCCTTTAAGCAAACTTTCGTATCATCTTGCCATATTCTGAAAATAGTGTTTTGAATTTGAGTGAGGCTGATGAGTTCAGTTTGAGTATAAAGGCGGGGAAAAGCAGTCATGCAGGAGGAATTATTTCTTATTCGGGGGAAGGTCAGCATTTTCTTCACTTCAGGCTTTCAAATGGATTTGATGAGGTCCACTTACATTAGGCAGGACAGTATGCTTTATTCACTCTACCTATTTGCCTGCCTCATATTACTCCTTTTGTTCAGAATGCCCAACAATAATTCAGGGTTTTTTTTGCTATTATTCTTTCTCTTCTGTTTTTCTTCTTTCCTTCCTCCTCCTTTCTCCTACTTTATATTGAGGTCATTAAACAACGCCTCACTGCTCGCTGGATTCATCCAGCCAGTGGCAGAGTCTACAACATTGAATTCAACCCTCCCAAAACTGTGGTGAGTAACTGTGGTGGAACTGACATGTAACACACTGTCCCAAATCTTCTTGCCCTCACAGATGTAAGTTTTGTGAACTTGGGAATTCTCCATCTGATCAAAAACTTCAAAGGATATATACTTAGGTCACTTGGTATAGTCAACTGATCTAGTCCACACTCAGGTTACTCATACAGATGTCCTAGGAACAGCAGGGGTTTATTATTCATTCAGAACCATGTGTTGACTTCCTGCTCTGTTCCAGGGGATATGTGAAGAGTTGCAGTGACAGAGATTCACAATACTTGGCTTATTTAAGGCTTGTAGTTGAGAGTCCCAGTCTGTAGCCAAATCTTTTTTCATATATATATATATATATATGTGTGTGTATATATATATATATATGTATATATATATACACACACACACACACACACAGGAAGGAAACTTACTTTTTTTTCTTTAGGAATTATTTATCTTATTATCGCTGTTATTATTTTTAGTTTGCTACACGATTTGTGCACTCACCAGAGAAAGAGAGAGCCACCAGGTCCAGGACTTGAACCACAGTAAGCTATGTGGGAGTCCAGCACTTTAACAACCACACCACCTGCTGGCCTAAGAAAACCTTTTCTTAAAAATAATTGTTTTTTTTTTTAATTTTTATTTTTTAGTTGCCAGAGGTGGACACACTTGCCAAAGAGAAACAGAGACAGAGAGAGGGAGAAATCACTTCCCAGTGGGGCATAGTCATATCATAACCCTTATCCTCCATTTCTCCATCCTGTCAGGATTTTGGGCATGTGCACATATGTCCTATGTGTTCTTAAAGGAACCCGAGTTGGAACTTGAACCATGGTTGGCCATGTGGGATCTTGCTCCCTTAAACATCAGGTTATGGGGCAGCCCTAGAAAATGTTTCTTTTTTTTTTCCTATAGGGTACATGTGCTCACTAGAGACAGAGAGAGGAAAAGTGAGAAAGCACCTCCCTTCCGCAGGGGGGAATAACCGTGCCACAATCCCTTGTCCTCTACCTCTGCCTTCAGGATTTGGGCACGTAAGCATGTACACACACCTAACATGTTCCTCAAGCTGCCAGGTCTGGGACTCAAACTACATAGTTGGTCATGCAGAATACAGCTGCCTTACCACCGTGTCAGCTAGCTGTCCTAAAAACCTTTTAATCTAAGGAGAAAGTGATAACTGTGGAAATTATCTTGCAGTCTCATGGCTCTGTGTTGCAGTAATCTGTCTTTGGGTTGAACTCTTGCTTATGTAAAATAAAAGCACATTTTTAGGTTTGGTGCTTGCACAGAAAAAGTGTCTGTTTAAAAGTAATTGTGTATATACCCTTTAAAAATATGATATTTGATACCAGTCTCTTTAAACTCCTGTTAAGGGTATAGATGATCTGACTGGGGAACCTCTCATTCAGCGTGAGGATGATAAACCAGAGACCGTCATCAAGAGACTAAAGTCTTATGAAGCCCAGACAGAGCCAGTCCTGGAATATTACCGGTGAGTTTTTGCTTTTCAGAACTTCTCTTGCATGATGAAGCACTAAGTTAGTTTTGTTTTCCATCCTTGATAGCTGAAATGCTATAACACCAGGAGACCCAATTCAAACTGGCTTAAGCAACAAAGGAAACGTATTAGTTTATGTAGTAGTTTGGGCTTCATTTACCAGTAGGTTTCCTCAGCTTTCTCATTCTCTGTTAGCAGTTTCTTTTGTTGACTTTGTCCTCAGATGTTGTACATAGTTGCAAACATTTGTCAGGAACAGCCAGGGGGCTTCCTCTGTTATGAAGAGCCAAGGGGGAACCTTTTACCTGCATAAAAACCCCAAGTATTCCTGGGGCTGAACCAACTCCGACAGTCATGATAGTAGAGAATTCCTGGCACCAACTGTTTAAGTTTGGGGCACTGCCCATTCCTGAACCAGTCACTGATTAGTCCATAGCCAGACTTTGGGGGTTGGTCAGTCTCAGTTAAACTGTGTAGTGGAGGGAGGGCTGGAATGAATGTATAATGCCACTCCGTGTGTGTATAATGCCACTCCCTGTGGCAACCAAGAACGCTAAAACACAGAAGAATCCCAAATGTCAATAATCACTTAGATCACATATTTGACTAATAGTCTTTTTTTTTTTTATTTTTGAGAGAGATTTTTGCTATAGGGCATGTATGCTGGCCAGAGAGAGAGAGAGAGAGAGAGAGAGAGAAAGCAAGGAATCACCCCCCAGGTAGGATGACCATGCCGCAATCCCTTCTCCATTTTCCTCTTGGGATTTTAGGCATGTATGCGCACATGCCGGGCATGGGTTTCAAACTGCTGGGTCCGGAACTCAAACCATGGTTTACTCTGTGGAGGTCTAGCACCTTAACTGCTATACCACCTGCTTGCTTCTGACTAGTAGTCTTTTTTTTTCTTTTTTTGGAGAGGTTTTTGCTATAGGGTGTGTGTGCTCGCCAGAAAGACAGTGAGAGACAGAGAAACAGAAAGCGAGAAATCCCCCCCAGCGGGGATGGCCATGCCGCAATCCCTTCTCCTCTCTGGATCTTGGGCACGCATGCACACACGCCCGGTATTGAGTTTAAGCCACTGGGTCTGGGACTCGAACCACAGTCGACTACATGGGAGTTCAGCAACACAGCCATTACGCTAACTGCTGGTCGCCAGGAAACAGGACTTCTTTACCCCGTGTCAGATAGTATAATTCCCATATTTTTTATGTGATATGAGCTCCCTGAAGAGCAGACAAAACAATGTAGTCGACTGCAGTTCGTGTCCCGGACCCGGTGGCTTAGAACTCACACCGGGCGCGTGTGCGTGCGTGCCCAAGATCCTGAGAGAATGGAGGAGAAGGGATTGCGGCGCGGCCATCACCCCTGGGGGGTGATTTCTCGCTTTCTATCTCTTTCTGTCTGGCTGGCAAGTGCACGTGCCCTCTAGCAAAAACCTCTCAAAAAAAAAAAGGTCCTGTTTCCTTAGCACTTCATTTTCCATACAGAGGGTTGATTGCCAGCCCCATCTTTTCATTCATTCATTTATTGAATAACTCAGTGTCGAGGTAGTACAGTGTCATGGTTAGAGCACAGACTGTGGGGCCAGAATGCCCAAGTCGAAATTCCAGCTCACCATTTAATTAACTTGGTCTTAACCTCTGCCTGTTTTCTGCTCCATAAAATGGGGGTAAAAATAGAGGGTTGAAAGATTAACTTTTAGAATTGTGCCTGATACATAGTAAGCACTATATAAATATTAGCTGCTATTATTGCTGTTGTCCTTGTAATAGAGTTAAATATACAATAAAAGCTAAAGCAATAGTCTCCAAACCTTATTAATAAATAGTTCATTCTGGAGGATGAAATTATAAAAGAGTTGGTGATTTACTTTCTACAGTAACTATTATAATTTTTTTTTTACTTTATTAAAATACTGAGTTTATTTCACGTGTATATTTTTGTCTCCCCACCATTTCCATGTCTGACCACCACTACTACTGTGTCCTATCATAACATTCCATACGTACTTAAAACCAAGCAAAGGGTGGAGTTCCATCTTTAAAAACTAAACAGGCATTTTGGACAACACATTCTTGGCAATAGAACCTGGACAACATTTATCAAACACGGTAGGG